CATATATATCAATGTGTATACTGTCCAGATTAATAAAACTAATCCTTCAATCGTTTATAAAATAAATAATTTGCATTCTAAGAACATAGTTAGATTAATTTAACTAAGAAAAGAACCCTAATGATAATTTACAGTGCGAATAGAAGGTGACATTCATTTTAATGATCTGTTCCATTTTATTCCCTGGTATTAAGCAATGGGATAATTAACAAATAAAGCGTTTTATTCTTTATTTTAAATTAATATTGACCTTTCAATGATGATAATCACAATAATAATAATTGGAGAGGTAAATTTAGGAGAGACTAAAAAAATGGAATTAATCTTGTTTACAGAAAATAGAAGACTAATTTGATGACCAAGTGATTTTAAAGTAAAACACTTATTTATTTATTAATTCGAGAATAACCTATTTGTTAGTGATAAACAGATTTATTGTTGGGACTGTTATGATTGTCAGATTGATATGTTTGAATGCTATGACAAGTTCACTTAAGTTGATAAACGAGAACGGTAGGCTATTCTGATCGGTTGTCCTAAACAAACTGACGAAAATGTCGTCGTGATATAGCATAGAAAGTGTATTCTACAAACATTCAGCCAGCAAACACAATGAACTCAAGCACATAAATCGCGTTTATTTATGTATCACATCAAAGAAACCTGCTTGGGAGAATCATAAAAATAGCATACTAAAATAATACATCAGTCAATCATGGCCAAAGATTTTCCTGGTGGGAAATGTGATCTCAAGGTCAATTGATCAGCCACTGAATAAAATCCTTTATCAAGTGAGTTTTTGGGATCTAACGTACCCAACAAGGATATTTCCGGCTTGTCATTTCAACGTAGCATGAGACTTCTCAATGGAAGTGAGTATCAATGAACCCAAGTCAGGACTTTTGGTCTTGAGTATGAACACTAAACGTGTAGACTAGTGAATCGAAAATATCTGAAGGTGTGTTTGCCAAACTTCAACGAAATCCTTGATCTTGCGTGAATTTATCTATTGCCTAATACTCACCATGCTTCAACTCCACTGGCCAGGGCTTAGAGAAGCTAGTTACTGATGTAAGCATCATATTTGTCATGAAAATGGTTGAGTTCCATTTTTTCTAGATTTTCAGTTCATGATTTCAACGAAACTCAACAATCTTCACAGCCCTATACTGACTAGAGATTTTCACTACAGTATATTAAGTACTTTTCTATGTTAAACAAAGTCAAATATTTACTTTTCAATTCCCCCTTTTATGTACATACTAATTTCCTGCTGTTCCCCTTTAGTGGAGCAAAGTCCGCCGACCAGCATCTTCCAACCTACTCTGTCCTAAGGCCTTGCTTTTGGGTTCTGTCCGCTTGTAGTTCCGTCTCCAATGAAGCCGCTTTCATTAACTTGAATTATCTACCACAAGACCTATTTTGATAATTGACGGGATGTGTTTAGTAATGTGACTCATGATTCACGTTTCGTCCTATTCTCGTGGCTTATCAGATGGATGTATGTACATTCATCCAAGAACTGACGTTCACTCCATGGTTCCATATGTTCTGTATAAACATTTTTCATAACGAGTACATTCAAGCAATGCGTACAAAATGAACACATATGTTAACCAAGACTGATCAAAATCATTTAAACTATACAAGAACGGGATGATACAAATTATCATAAGTTTTCATTAACACATATGTCTATGAGACCAACTGACTCAATTTTCGTATTAAATGACAATTTTTATCCAATGGATAGTGAAATCCTGTAAGCATCCTTCATTCCATATGGATTTACACACCAAACGTGGGCACTACAAGTAAACGGTTCAATGAGTGTCTACACTTAGAAGCTCAGTAGGTGGTGCGAGCTACTTACAAGTAGTATATGACGTCAGTGTCAACGTAATGTCTGGCAGCAGAAGATGGGGGAACATCAAGAAAGGAAAAGTTAGAACACAATGGAATGAAACGCATGAATAGTGACAATGGATTGATGTTTTGCAACAGGAACAGTCCAGTTCGATATGACGGACTGATATTTTGCAAATGAACGATTTACGATATGGTTTTTCCGATTTTACTGAGTAACTCTGTAATTTTCGTTAAATGCGATTCGGTTTCCCCACCTGTGTTCTCCTTCACTACAAATACGTAACCTATTTTATGGTTAGAAGCAAGTTAAACTAGTATCAACTTGTATAATGAACATTACCACTCGGTGTCAGGTACATCTTATTACCAAGCTTTAATTTAAATCAAAAGAAACATATCTACCAATTAAATGATAATTTATACATCACACTGATTACGCAACCAACCAATCAAATGTTAATTAAAACAAAATTGTCAATTGTCATTGAACATTGAATCAAACGGTGACTACAAAAAAAAAAGAAACCAGTTGGTGTTTACTTTACTTTACTTTACTTTTCTCTTTTGAAAACCTTTTACTAATTAATGTTAGTAGTAGTTATTTGATTGGTTAGTTCGTCATTGATTCAACGTTCAATTTTCATTGGTTTATTAAAGGAAGTTATTCAAAGTTATCTATCATTTTCTCAAAAATATTATCCCCAAATAATTAGGATGTCCAGATAGACGAAAAATAAATAAACACTAATTTCCCAATATTTTTATTTCACAAATTCATAAATTCCATGATCATTTTGTTCAATGGTTCAATGATCAATTATTAGTGCTTTTGTTTAAAACAAACAAACAAATTAAAACAAAAAATCCAACTTTTTTTTCTGAAATTATGTCGATAACAACGCCACAATGTTCATTAGGAGGACGACGACTGACAGAATCATCACAAACCAAATTATACACACCAATCATAATCAACAATGAATGGTCAGATCCAATGATTCAGTCTGGAGATGTGTGTGAATGTACAACACCATTGACCACCGCAAAACATGAGATATCCCCGTCATCCTCGTCATCCTCTTCATCGTCGACAAGAACAAATCCATGTTCTTTAGAAACTCAATTATTGTATAATGAAGAAGAGAAACTTTTAAATCAAGGTTTAATCACTGATCATCATAGTAATAATAATAATAATAATAATAATAATAATAATGACGACCTATTCATGAATGATTTATATTTATACAATGAAAGAGATTATTTATTGACAAATCCATATTTTTACAATTCATGTACGGATTTCAATTGTGAACTGACTGGTGGCGCTGTAACAACAACATTCAATCATTCCCCATTGATGAGTCGTGGTTATACAGGTAGACATGGTAGAAAAATTGATAACGATCCAACGATATTATTAACTTTATTAAAATGGGCACGTATTGGTTCTAGTCAATTGCATGGAGATGATGATCAGATTGATAGAATGAATTATCAATTTACCACGGTTCTGTTATTGATTTTATTGACATTAACTGGATTTAGACAATATTTATGTGAGTTTGTTTTGTTTTTATTGTTTTTAATGGGAAAAGAACTTTTTGTGGTGTTTTTTTCATATTTGACCTTGAAAGTAGTGGACGGTTGTTTTATCCTTGTACAAGATTCCTCAGCAGTGGTGGTCTAGAGGTTATGAGTTCGCGCATGGAACTGAAAGTTCCGGGTATGGGTTCTGAAAGTGAGGGTCATGGATGTGTACTCCTGAGGAGGTCCATACTAGGACGAAACGGGAGTCTAATGTTTCGAGGTATCAAATGCCAGTCGAGGTAACATCAGCTTATGATTCCGACGATGAAATTCACTCTTTCTTGCTGTTAAAATGCGTACGGTAATTAGATTTTACTGTGACTGATCATCGACTAGTAAACAAGTAAAGATTTTAGTTCAGTTGAGCATTTTGAAATATGGTTATATTAATTTTAGATGGTTAGTAGTAGTGTAGTGAACGAGAACACAGGTAGGGCAACCGAATTGTATTTAACGAAAATTACAGAGTTACTCAGTAAAATCGGAAAACCATATCGTAAATCGTTCATTTGCAAAATATCAGTCCGTCATATCGAACTGGACTGTTCCTGTTGCAAAACGTAAATCCATTGTCACTCACTATTCATGCGTTTCATACAAATTCCATTGTTTTCTAACTCTTCCTTTGTTGATCTTCCCCCATCTTCTGCTGCCAGACATTACGTTGACACTCACGTCATATACTACTTGTAAGTACCTCACACCACAGTAGTTTAATGAAATAATGGACACACAGAGTGTGTACGATACTTTCATTAAAAGTAATGCACACCTATAATACAAGTCTTGTTGTATTTATCTAAAAATTTGTGAAAAATATATCTGGTAAATAACTACTCACAAACAGACAAACAAATTAAATGAGCGCATTAAATTACTTTGCTAGTCTGAATTTTGAAAAAAAAACTTAAGCTTTATTTCATTTAACTAGTTCATTGCTATCAAAAATTCAATGACAATTGAATTGACAATTGAATCGCGGTTTTAAAATAATGTATAGTGATGTATGTAATGTAAGTCGATAAATGTAACGTTGATTGGCTATGAAAAAGTGTTTGTTGTACGGAAAATATTTTATATTATCAACTGTTTACTTTGGTTAAACAAGAAATTCTCACAGCGTAAAAGGATATTTTTATCATAAATCACGAGTTTATCTTGCTAACTTACTAACTTACTTACGTTTGTGAACCCTACAGCATTCTCTGACCTACTCTGTCCTGGGCTTCCATTTCCAGTTTCGTCCAACTGCTGTTCATTCTTCTCATGTATAATTCCGTTTCATGGCGTAATGTGTTTCTTGGTAGTGCTCTTTTCCTTTGAATCTGAGGAAGTCAAGTGAAGGCTTGTTGTGTGAAGCAGTTGAATGGTGTTCAGCAGGTGTGTCCTATCCACTTCCTTCGCTTATTCCTGATTTCCTCCTTTGCTGAAATCTGGTTTATTCTCTCCCACAGTAGGTTGTTGCTGATAGTATCTAGCCAACAGATCCTTAGTATTTTGAGTAGACAATTGTTAATAAACACTTTTCTGTTCCAGATGATGCCTTTCGTAGTTTTCCAAGTTCCCGGATTTTAAATGGAAATATAAAGGAATGTCTATCGACAATAGGCGTCATTTATTTACATTTTTCGAGCTGTTTTTGTAAATTAGATCTGACGATTTTTTGAAAAATTTTGCACAGAAAGATACGCAATCGTCAGGTAAACTAATTACTTATCGGTTTAAATTTAGTTTGGATAGGAAAGTTACACTTTGATGAATATGAGTATCGTGCAAATAATGAATAGACATTGAAGAAAATATGCTTCCCATTGAAATGTACAATGAAAGTTTACATAAAACGTGTTTAAAATAAGCATTGTGATTGTGATCGAACGCAGGATGTGTATTTCATCCGATTTGATACTCGTCAACTTGATTTATTCACATCAGTGTTGGTATTCACACAGAGACTCGAACCCTACAATAGCCAACATGTTAACCAGTAAAGCTACTTACAATAAAACTATAAACAAAACTATTTTTGTTATCTCAAAACACATATTACTTTTACAGTATAAGTAGTATCTACAAGTAATCTATATATACATACGCGTTCTGGTGAATTTTGTGTCATCGAAAGTGTCATGTTGATAATAATAATAATAATAATTCACAGAATAAGTTTCTAATGAAATTACCACCTAATCGAAAAGTATTTTTTGTTAGATGGGATTTAAGTCAAACAATATATTGAATACTACTGTGGTGTACACTACTTATGTTCACATAAGTAGTATATGATATCAAATGGAAATCAAACTTCTGACAGCAAAAAAGATCGAGAAGGAAAGAATGAGAACAGAAGGCGATTTGTAGGTGACGTAAAGTAGTGAACTGAAGTCTGAACAGTCTAAATGAAAGAACACTGAAATCTGAAACAAATAAGGATTCGTTTGCAAATGATGATTTCACGGGAAGGTTTTGTTCATATGCTTAACAACTCTGCAATATTCGCTTAAATATAGATGTTAATGTCCTCAACTGAGTTCTCGAGCACAACACTACGAGTTAATTAAAGTTAAACATATCCACTATTCGGTTCTACATTTAGTGATCCTACATTCTGAGTACACGCCATGACATTGAAGCTTAAGAAATTCGATCTCCTTTAGAGAAGCACTACTGAGAAGTCCTGTACTATGAAATGAAGACATTCGCTAAAGTATGCTATGGGAAAAAGGTTGATTAGTTGAACGTTGAAAACAAAAACGGATTAGATCTCCTTTACAGAATTAAAACTTTTTTTTGGGGGGGGGGCAGAGTTTTGGAGGTTTGCGCTTTTTTTTACACATTCGAAATCATCAACCAATCATTGTTAGACCACCATTAGAAACCTAGAAGCACTGGACAGCCGTTTCGTCCAATGGTATGGGACTCATCAGTGTCAGTGCGCATCCACGACTCCTGCGAGAAGCAGGATTAACAAAAACTATCTGATATTTGTGTTCGATTTATTCGATTTGGCTAACAGTATGAGTGTGTGATAGTTTTACCCCCGAATAAATCACATGCAGTAAACTCGTGGTGAGAATACCAGCAATATGCTTCAATTTATTCTTATTGACACAGTCTAGAATATTCAGTGATCATTTATTGGTTTTTATCTGTTGGGTTTTTTTCGGTTTAAATAAAAAAATTTTTAAGAAAAAATCTCATTCAGATTTATTTTCCACTTCAGATTTTTAAATCTTCACTTTTCTTAAATTTTTTTTTATTAAGAGACGTCTAATTTTCGCGTTGAAAAATTTTTTTTATAAGTATTGAAAACTAAACTAATTCACGTCATTTGCATGAGAGGGTTGTGAAGTGTGTTGAGTTATGTTTTTTAAACTCATCAATCGATCATTGTAAGACCATCGTTAAAAACCTGGAAGTATTGAATGGCCGTTTTATCCTCGTGAAGGAGTGATCAACAGTGCTCATCCTGGACTACTGCAACCCGAAGGATTTGAACCCAGTACCTTTGGTCTGGCGAGCGAATGCTAACTTCTAATCCACAGCCGGTATCTAATAGCGCGCAAGAACGGAAATTCTGGACTCGAATCCAGTGAGTTGCAGGAGCACTGTTGATGACTACCAAACCAGGATGAAACGATCGTCCAGTGCTTACAGCTTTCTGATGGTCGATTAACATCGATCGATTCATGATTTCAAAAAGTCATTAACTCCACATTAAATGACTAAAATGAAACTTTTCCTATGTGTGGAGGATATAAATTTACAAATATACATGTTTCATTGAAACTCATTGCTCTACATGACCCTTCGTTGAAAATCATAAAAATGTGCTCACTAATGACTGACTTCGTAAGAAAAGTTTCGGTAATCCACTGTGTCAATGTCACAGACTTCGATGCTGTTTCCTATTCGACCAAAATGTATATATATATATATATATATATATATATATATATATATATATATATATATGCATTATCTGTAACGTTTTATAACCACGACCAGGACCCGGTCACGGATCCCTAGTCCGGGATCCTGATTCTCTTCTTGATTCGGACCTAGTACTTTCTGGATGCTTGTAGAATACAGATTCTAGTTCATATCACGTCTTCTTATTTTCACTCAATATGGGGTTGGTTGGGATAATCGGATTTGAGTAGCATGTCGTGTCACCGGATCCTCGATCCTCGCTCTCGTTTTCCGACTAGGTAAACTCGTAATAGTTCAAGTATATCAAAATGACGTGTTTACGTACAGCCGTGATCAATGGAGTTCAACTCTATCAGGTGTAAGCAGTTACCCACTGAAGAAATAGGGTGAAGTTGCGTAATATAGTGAAAGGGTTAAAGTTAGACATTTATACCGTTGGGTGCCACTGGATCAGTGGTCTAGGGGTTAAGTGTTGGTGCTTAAGACCGGAAGCCCTGTAATAGTCGCGGACTGCTGATGAGTGTCATAGTAGGACGAAATGGCTGTCCAATGCTTCCGCAATTTTAATAATGCTCTCAAAGTTTTAATGAAACTCAACAATCCTCATAGCTCTATTATGCAAATCGTAAATAGATGTATTTTTGTTGAGTATTGAGATAATTTAGAGAAGAATCAATCAAACATTATCGATCAGTGTATTTACTGAATGTATGCATAGTTAACCACAATATAAATATCCTAATAATTCTATACTTGGAAAGAATATTAAAGTAATCATTTAAAAATTTTTCAGTCCATTTGGGAAAAGGATCATTTAAAATCCCAAAAAATCAACAATCAGATCATACAAACTATAGTGAACAAGTGACTTATCATCTGTGAATGATGGGTGATTTGTTGGTGTTTAATCTCACTTACTTTCTAATTTGTTACCCCTAATCGAGCATAGGCCGCTGACTAACGTTTTCCAACCTACTCTGTCCTGGGCATTCCATTCTAGTTCTGTCCAATTGTTGGCATTCATTCTTCTCATGTTGGA